ATTGAACGTTGGTGAACGTTGGCGATGCTAGCGATCGTTTACGTGCATGTTTTCGCACACAATTCAATTAATTTTCAGACAACAAGGTTTTACGTCTTTTCCGTTGTCATCACCCAACATCAAAACACACGACCTGATGGACAAGACATGAATCTTCCTCTGATGAGAACTCTGGAGAAGAAGAACTGGAAGCCAAAGCTGAAGAGGAGAACTATGCTGAGATCTCAGTAGCCAATGATCGCACAGCTGGAGGAGGCAACCAAGATGGTCCTGCTCCATGAGGAGGAGGAAATGGTGAACCCGGAAGTTTGACTCCTGGAAAAACAACAAGAGGAAAGCTCCAGTACGCTGGAAACAAGCAACGCTATTACCTTTTTTGCAACGCAACAAGGAGGTTGGACAAGGAGACCCTTTTCAATTGTACCTCCAATACCTTTTACCAATTCATGAAGTACCTTGGTGAAAGAGCCGATGAATTTGGATGGCCGACTTGTGGAGGCATCCCACATGTTCCAAAAGCTACTGGAACAATGGATACAGGAAGTCCAAAGATGACCGGATGCTCTACAAATGCATCATGAAGTCACTTTCTACTCTTGGAAAAGCAAAGGTCAACATTCACAGTTTGACTACAAGCTTATGTCTGGACGATACAACCGCTACCCATCTGGGTTCTGCTTGCTGAAGGTGGTGGTTTGGGAGTCCTATTTGGATTTGAGTGCAACAACTGGTATGCTACGTCAACAACTTGCAACCTTGGATCTCTACCTGCCAACAGTCAAAAAGAATATCATCATGTTCAACATGCACGTGCAGGCGTGTGAGAGCAAACATTGGATCTGTTGACAAACCTCTTTTGAGGATATACCAGTATATGGTGTGCATTACTGATCTAGAAACGGACCACGACATGGAGAACCAAACAATCACTGCAGCAAAAGCCTATGAAGCTGGTGGAGAAGAAGAACAAGTTCGATCCAAAGAAGAGATCTTCTGGAGGAGGAGCCTCAAAGATTGAGTTGAAGACAGCTGTCGACGAAGACTACTTGGCTGGTTTGACTGGAGGCTA